ATTTAACGGTGTATTGCACCTCATACTTAATTTAATCGCCTCAAGGGAGTATTTAAGCAGGTAACGACTCCATAATGTTTGAGCACCTGCAGTGCTAGAGCATCGCGCATAACTTCGTTCGCTAGAGTCATCTTCCGCTCGTTACGAGCTGATACCCTTCATATGCTACCGCATTAACATCAGAATGAGTTCCTGGCATGTCAGAAAATGCATAACTTCCTAGAAAGAAGATTTTATGGCATGTTGACCTTTCGCTTTAAGGCGTACTTCCAGCAAGTTGTCCATCTTCATGATCTTTGCTGCTGGATAACTCGGTCGTTAAAGCGCGTCCCTGCTCTCTCCTTCCTGTGCTGATTTTCCTGTCTAACGAGTTCATGTTGTCTATCTAACAGCCAAGGTACACATGGCTTATAACCTGTTCGAGTTCTTTGCCATTCGCGTACACAGGGCTCTCAGGCCAGTGCTCTCTTCGTAAGCGTTTCGTTTAGACGAGGTTAATTTCAGTTCGATGATGAGATATTCTTCTTGCAACCGTCCCCCTGGATCTTCCGTTGGAGTTCCATCCGTCGCGTCATGTGACTTCCATCCACGCAAAGAAAAAGGGTGTTAGTTGTTCTGGATCAATTTTGATACTGTGGCATCAGTTCAGATGGTTGAAGAGTGGCTCCAAGGCCGCGCCGAAGAGCGCTGGAAAGATGGTATCTCTGGGTGCATTCCTCGATGAATACCGATGCGACATGGTTCGACGAATGGCGTGATGTCGGACGTGCAACCGGCAGCCGACATTCAGTTAATTGACTAGGTCGACTTAAAATGGTTCTATGCAATGTTTTTGCCCGGGGTTTAAATTAGTCACAGGGCGACCTAATCGGGCGCCTTCTTGTAGTGCAAAAAAGCAAAATCCACTCAGGTTGGTGTTTGATGTTCTTTGCACTTTTCCATCAACTGCTGAGCCGCATGTGCATGGCAAATGGCGAAACCCCCTTTACGAAAACGGGCATGTTCAAGATTGGTGTGACCAGTTCCTAGCCTTTCCATATACGATTAAACACGTCAATTCTGTAGCGAATGATGATATAACAAGTTGTATCATGACTCACTAACTACCGGACAAAATAATCATGGGACCACTATCCCCTTTACCGGTAGTTTCATCTACAGTTGCAAACACAGATGAAGAAGGAGCTGTTTTCGTTCGCAGTTCCGATGTATCACTATGACTTATGGAATATTCACGAGTCATGTTCGCGATGTTGTGACAATTTTGTTTCCACCTCCATTGCATGAGGAGGAGTGCATCAAAGATGGAGTAACGCCTCGTTGACCGCAGTCATCAGCACCTCCCAGCACGACCCATGTCTTCAGTTCATGAGCCTAGCGTGATCGAAGTACGAACATGTTAAAGCGGCAATATGAAAAAAGCCGGTTGCAAATTCCTTGTGTCAGGCGCCAACCAGATGGCAGTCGGCTCGCACATTTGAAATGACACTAAATCGGGACAAAGTTCAGACGGCCGCGAAAGCGCAAAAATTTTTGATTGGCGGCCGTTTGTGACATCTCGCACTTATTTCGAAACTGTCCAGTGAAATCGATATCCAGACGGCTGTTCGGACGTTAAATGGCAAACGGCAATACAGCATATCCACGGATTTCTTATTTTATCCCTTTTTAACCTGCCGTAATATCTTCGTGGTTTGTCGACGGGTCGCAGTGGCATTTGGAGGCAACCGACTCAAATGTGGCCGTGTTTGGAAGCCGACGTCGGGCAGCATAAAATATCCGCGTTGATGAAGAAACGTTCGTCGAAACGTTTGCTAAAGGCAAACTGTCAGGTCAACGATTTCGCAACAAATGACATTATGGAGGCGATAACTTCGAAAAGAAAGCGTTTTTGAGAGATTGACCCATAATTGGGCAGGTCAATGCGACTACCGTGCAAGTTCAAGCATATATCGTTACCGGTATGATTGAGTAAGGTGTTGCGTCGAGGTTAGGCTATTCCTGTTTTAAGTGCAAGTTGTGCAGCTTTCCCGGTTATGCATTTGTGCACCTCTACTCAAGGCTAATTTCAGCGATGTCGAATAGTGTACGGCTTGCCTTATTTTATAGCTGTACGTAATGACTTTGGCTGGGGGTTTAATCCGCGGATTAAAACATAAAGATAAATGAACCTCAATTTTGAAGGAAGCCTCTGTCAAGCATTCGCAAGTACCAGATTTAGAATGATGGGAAGTGTTAGCGGTTGAACGTATCATGCAGTGCTGTTGACAGATTCGTCCAACGGTTCTGAATACCGTAAATGAACGTTCATAAGCTCTTGTACTTGAGGATACTTGAGGCAGAGTAACGAAGTTGCCAGCAAAAAGTATGAGTGGCAGTCCATCTAAGAAGACATGTGATTTACATAGTTCCTTACTGGAAGTCATCATCATTAGTGGCATTTTTGAGTCTACTGCAGGATGAAACAATTTCTCTCCAGAGATGTGCCTTTACAACTGCTGACCATTGATCCGGAAATATCCTGATATTGTTGCTTCTTAGAAACTAACACAATGTCTCTTTGTTCAAGGGGTCATGTTTAATGATGTCCAGCTCACTGCCATTCTAATTTATTTGCTACTGCAATGACATAATAGAAACTGTTTGTATTATAAAGTTGGCTCGTTTGGTCTTAAAGAAACTGTCTGAATTTGTTGCAAACTGCTCACTGCAAAGCCCCGTGGCCAGCTACCAAGGTACATACTCAAGGAGGCCTGATGGCTGGAATCTACTGAGCCCTGGCATAGTGCTGCATTGGTATTTAGTCTGTAGCAATTTTAAATTGATAGAAACCGGGAACAATGGTAAACGTTGTTCAAACCGTTGTCTCTCGAACTGCGAGAAATAGCGAGGTATGAAAATTAATGACTGAACACTTGGCTAGTGGCTTCGAAAAGGGTGTCAGCGCTGCACCATAAACTCCATGAAAATAGGTTTTGAACTGCGTCAGTTGCTTAAGTGTTTGTCTGTTTATGTCTCATACTAAACGAGCTTAAACAATATACTAACCTAGATTTTATGATCTCTGAGCAATCGAACTAGTACTTCAGATTAATATTAGGCCACGGTCACTATTTTGCTCTGGAAGAATCACACTTGATCTTCTGCGTTCCACGCGATTGTACAGTAAACTTACTGATGCTCTCTACTGTCCTGAAAGAACGGCAACTGCTTTGGCTTGGACAGATGCTAAGACGTTCTCACCTCTAATCCTCGCACGATACCGGAAAAGAGACCAGACAAGTTAAGATCTGTTTGGACATCGTCAGAGCTGACGTTGAATTCCTCTCTGGGCAGGCAATGCATGGGTGAATACGGTGAAAAAATTACCAGCTGAACTTTCTGACGGACATCACCCGGGATTGACGGAGGGGACAGTGGCGATCATGGACGTCACTGAAGCCGGCTGAACCAGTGATGGTGAGAACCGTAACAATAACAACAACAACTTTCATTTTGCTACGTCTAAGGTCATATTCACTGTCGTAAACAGGTCCCCTTTAATGAGGAATTTCCAGGGCGGATATGAGCTTATCATGTAAGAAGGGGTTTCAACATATTTCTATTCCGTTTTGGAGCCGTTTCTTCAAACCAGACAAGGGTGTTACTCTCTGAGTGATTTTAAACTTTCTCGGACCAGAGAGAGTCAGAGCCTGTTCCTTCGTGATCCGATGCTACAAGCACTCTCCGAACATACTGCCCAGTCCGTGATTCTCAAAAGCTTTCTAGACGATCTTCATGGTGCTTCAAGATGGCGGCTATTTCGCGACTATATGTATATAGCACCGCAAATATAGCTACATGCAAAAAGACGATCTTCGTATTGGTTCCGATGGTTCGATCATTTTATTTTTTATACAAATTTCACCAGAACGCAGGAGACCAATATCCCAATCACAAACACATTCTTTCTGTATCTTTTCCTCTGATCTGGTGGTGAAAATTCTGAAAGTTTGTGTGCTGTTTGACTAAGT